AGCCGCGGCCGCCGCGGGCCCCGCCGCTGCCATGGGGGGACCCGCCGCCGCCGCCCTGACTGACACTGACTGACAGGCGGCCCCCCCCCCCAGCCAATCACCGCACCGCCTCCGCCCGCCCCCCCGCGGCGCCACAGCCAATCGCCGCGGTCCGCCCGGGAATGAGCCGCCACGGGGGGCCAGGCTGCAAACCGCGCCTCCTGCGCGGTGAGCCAATGGTCTGGCTAGTCGGTGGTTGATGGGCAAGCCTCCCTCCAATGAGATTCAAGGAGATGCTTCCCCCCCTGAGGGAGGGTGGGCACCGCCTTGCTGAGAGGCGAATGGCAGGCACAGGTGGTGATGATGGCTAGGTAGAGCGGCCAATCGGCTGCCACAATTCATCTCGCTTGGAGTGGCACCTGGCTGACAGGAGAGGGCAACAAGCCCCGCCTCTTCAGCTGCAGGGTTTTGATTTGATTGACAGGACAACCTACCAATCGTTGGTGCAGGAGAAGGTGAGGCAGCCTATGGGGACGCGGAGACTAGGCGGCATTCACCCCTCCAGCGCAGGTGGCTGATCCCGCCTTCCTGGGGACATTTGCGGCTCTTATTGGCTGGTGGGGATGATAGGCAGGCGCCTCCACCTATGGGGCGTCGAGTAGCTGATCGCAGCTCTGCGGTGAGGGGTCCAGGGTGGTGTCACCCTCCGTTACCTCAGGGAGGGCACCCGGGTAGGGGGACCCGGGATGGGAGTCCCCAGTTCCCCAGGGACAAGGGTGTTGGGGGTCCCTGGTTACCCAAAGATGGGGATAGTGTGGTGATGGGGGGGGAGAGCGTCCTTCGTTCCCACAGGGACCTGGGTAGGGGGGCCATGGGGGTCCCCAATTCCCCAGGGATGGGGTGTCAGGGTGACCAGGGTCCCCCATCCCATATGGATCCAGGGATGGGGACACTGGGGTCTCCTGTGATTCCCAGGGATGGGGACAATAGGGACCCCAGCTCCCCAGAAAGGGGGGGTGACAGTGGTCTCACGTTTCCCAGGGATTCAGATCTTGGGGCACTTGGGGATCCCCAATGTCCCCTGGGGTGCGGGGACAGTCCCCCAGGGACAGGGATATGGGGACACAGAGTCCTGCTGTCCCCAGGGACAGGGGTGTGGGACACTGGGGGTGGCCCCAGCGCCTGGGGTTGCTGAGGTGCCATTGGGGATGGTTTTAACAGTGCTGAGAAGTGGTTTTTTTGGGAGCTTAAAGGCATTTTCAACCACTCCAGCTTCAGTATTTAAAAAATAAAAAGATAAAAAAACCCTAAAAAGGTTAAAGAGATAAGGACATGGGAGGTTTAGGGGTGGGAGCTGGAGTTTTCGGTCCTCTCAACTTCCATCTCAGTTTTCAATTCTTTCAGCTTAAGAAGCGCCATCCTTGATTTTTTTTTTGTTTTTAAACCTCTCCCATGCCACCGGGACAAACCACATGCTGGCAGCAGAGAGGGGAACCACCGCGAGAGCGCATGGGCCGAATTCACAGCGTTTCAACCCAAACCCGACTCCATTGCCTCCTGGAAAGTGCCGAAGCCCCAAGGGCATGAGCGGCCACCCCGGGGAGAAGTTTGGCCTCGACTTCCCCTAAATTCAGGCTCAAAAAAGGGGAAATCGGACAAAAGGAGGAAACTGCTTACCCCAAGAGCAGGGGGAACTGGAGTGAGGGACGTTCAACTTTTGGCTGTGTTTGCTCTTCCTGGGGTGCCTCTGTGAAATTCGGCTGAAATTGGTCAACGCCAAAGTTACTCGTAAGTTCTAACTTTCGTTTACTGCAATAGCCAGCCCAGGGGATGCCTGGCTCGAAGCCCTGAGGGCGTTCGGGCAACGAAAAGAATTTTCCAGAGAAGGAATGAAGGAAATGGTGCCCCAAAATATGAGGATTTTCACAACGCTAAGTTTCTTGCATTAAAAACGCAAGACGTTATCACAAAACCACTGAACAAAATGCTAACGAATTCCCACCAAACCAAAAAAAAAAAAAAAAGTGGAATTTAGGTGCTTGCCTTGGAGAACGCCGGTCGCTGTTTCAGCATGAAGGCTCCAAAAACCACCTCCTCGGGCAGGTGTCGGCCTCATTTGAGGAGAGCAGGGTGTGTTTTTTAACCAATTCTGCTAAAAATCAACAGGGAGGGGCTGCGACACGTGGTGAAGGGCTGCTCAAGCGCATCAGCTGCTCCAAAACTCCTGAGTGCGCAAATTTTTTTTTGGCTAGGAATTAGAATTATGAAACGCAGGCGTTTCCTTCCCCCCAGGATGAGGTGACGCATCTTCCCCACCCCATAAATCAGGGCGATATCGAGAGAAAAAGGATCAGAGATGTCACAAGGCAAAGATGACTTTGGCATCTATGAGAACTGTGATTTCACCAAGGAGATGGAGTTGGAGGAGCGAGAGCGGAGGAAAGCGCCTAAAGGAGGTATCGGGGCAAGGGAGCGGCTTTGGGGATCCAGAGACATGAAACTGGAGGGTTTCAGCTCTTTAAACTGGTCTTTCTCTGAAGTTATAGCCAAATTTTGACGCCTGGTTCCTCCGTTGGGTCACAATCTAGGAAAAAGAGGTTTGAGCTTGAAGAACAGGGTGGTGGAGTCACTTGAGAGGTTGTTTTGGGGGGGATCTCTCCTCTTTGTGCTCTTCTTTAAGAAAATATCTGTTGGGGGGGAGTTATTTGGGGCTGCCTCACCCCATTTCACCCCTGGCAGTGCTGCCCTTCCTAGCCTTGTCTCCGGAGAGAGCCATCGCGCTGCTGTACATGCTTCTGGCCCTCACCTTTGTGCTTTTCATGGCTCTCACCATTGTGAATCTCCGGAGAGGTGAGTCCGCCGCGCGTCCCTTGCTCTGATCGCCCTCGCTGAGCGCAGGGTGGGCACGATTTGGGGGAAAACCACCAGCGGATGGAGCAAAACGTGGCTCCAAGTTAGGACTGAAGGCCCTTTTGCAGCCCGCGAGCTCTCCGGGGCCGGATCCGGAATGAAGGTGAACGCTCTCTTCCTCTTCCCCAGTATCTGCGGCGTGGGAGGTGTTGGAACAAGCCCGGATGCGGAGCGAGAACAGCCACACGACGGTGTGGCACAACCTCTCAGAGGTCCAGCGCACCCTTGGTACGACATCTCGCCCCGAAATGGCTCCCTGGCACCCGCTGCACCCTCGATACCTGCACGGCTTTTCCCCCTGGCGCTTCCCAGCGTGCTTTTTCCAGCAAAAAAATGAACCAAAGCCGCTTTCCATCAGGACAGAGATGGTCATGGCTTGTTTTGAGCTTTCTCCTCTTATTTTCCTCTTAGATAAACAGCTCTCTGGCGTGCTCAAGACGATTCACGGCCGACTTCTGAACGGTACGCCAAGGAAAAGGTGGTTTTAGGGAAATATGGGCAGAATCCCAAATACTGGGCGCAGGCAGCGGCGAGATGGGGTCAAAAGCGGAGTTTTTCCTCCTTCCAGTGTCGCAAGAAGTGGAGAACGTGCGGCGGAAGACGACACGGTGCAAAGCGGAGTGCGGGAATGAGCTGTCGGATCGCCTCCGCGTCCTGGGTGAGAGCCTGAATTTGATGGAAAATCGTTAAATTCAGTCCTTCTCCTCGATTCCCAAAACACGCGGTATTGGGTAGATGCTCCAAAGGTTCCTAAAATGTGCACCGGGAGCGCACGACGCTAATCTTAATGAGTTTGAGATATCATTAAGTATATTATTAAAGGAAAAAAACCTTTCTCAGCGCGTTGATCAACACAATAAAAAGCTCATTGAACGAAAGGGCTTTGAGGTTTTACTGCCTGAAGTTTAGAAAACGGTAACTCGCACCAGGAAACAAAAAACACACAGCGAAAGCCACGGTGTAGATTGGGATGGAAAAGAAAAGGGGAAGGGAGACAAAAACGGGGGTTTTTAGGTCTTTGCAGCAGCTGAATTACCTTTTATTCTCTCCCCGGCAGAGGAGAGGAACGCGCTGGAGCCGGTGCTGCGGCAGCTGGCGGAGGTGAAGCAGGAGCAGAGCCGCGCGTCGGCGCTCCTTGACACGGCGCTGGAGCAGACGCGCAACCTCTCAGGTGAGGGGTAGCAGTCGGGCTGAGCCCGTGGGCGTCCCCCTGCGCTCACCCACGCGTTCTCCTTTCCCCTCCCGGTTTCCCTCAGAAATTCTCTGCACGAAGTGTCCCGCCGGCTGGCAGCAGTTCGCCAAAACCTGCTATTTCTTCTCCACCACCAATCAACCCTGGCTGGCTGCTAAACGCTCCTGCAACGACTTCAACGCCCATCTGGCCATAGTCGACACTGAGCAGGAAAACGTAAGCTGAGAAATCCTGTAAAAAGCGGAAAAAACCCCCCAGATTTCATGAGTTTAGAAGAATATTAGACTCCAATTCCACAAATGGAAAGCTGGAGGTTAAGCACGTGCGACTCAAGACTGCCCGCGGAGGCAGGAAAACGCAACCGCTTGAGGTTCCCGCTTGGTTCTGAAGTGATTTGGCCAAATCGGATGAATCTGTCCCCAAAAGAACTGGCGTGATGTAGGCATTTTTTGGGAAAAGCCCGCGGGGAGCGGCTGCCCTTCCTGGGGTCTGTGTGACCCCAAGGGACTCCCGGGGTGCGAGAAGCGCTTCACCTGAGTTTGGGGTGGATGCGCCGTGCCTCCACGGCGATCCCTCCTCGCGATCATTTAGAAATTACGGAAGTTATTTAGAAATTATGAAAAGTTATTTAGAAATCACAGAAGTTATAGAATGAATTACAGAAATACAACCCAAACTGTGCACAAATTAGCATTTCTACCCCAATTTAGACGATCCCTGCCTCCCGTTCAGGAGGGTGCTTTCACCGACCCAGCTTTTAAAAAGCACATTGCGTCTGAAAAAAGCTTCTTCCTCCAGATATTAGAAATTTCAGCACTTTTTTCCATTCCCGACAGGAAACGTTGCATTTTTTTGTCACGCTTGCGGCACGTCACGGTTGTCCCCTGCAGGGGACGGGCTCCCCGATGTCACCGACTGCTGGCGCTGGCCTCGGCGCTGCTGAATCCCTTTGCCGCCGCCTTCTGCTTCCCCTCCTGACGCTTCTTCCCCCCCCTCCCCACTCCGTTTGCAGAAATTTCTGGCAAATCACATCATGGAGGATCGGGTGTTCTGGCTGGGCCTGACCGACACGGACAACGAAAGCAAGTGGCAGTGGGTGAATGGCCGCTCCCTCTCTCTCTCGTACGTTTTTAGCCTCATCGGAGGGTAAATTGCCCCCCCAAATCAGCTCTGTTCTCCCTCAGCCCCTTTTTTGCTCAAAAAAAGGCGCCGCACCCTCATTAGCGCACCCGTCCGCCCTGGTTCAGTGCTTAAAAAGCACGGAAATAAGTTCCGTGCTGCCGCGGCACCTGAAAATGCCAGGTGGAGGGAATGGTAAGAGGACACACCCTGCTGCAAGCAAGACTTTGGCTTTTTCTCCCCCAAATTCGCTTTGGTTTCGGGGCTGAAAACCCAGGTGGGAACTCGCAAGGAGCCGCAGCGCCTGCTTGGTTCCCCCCC